ATAGAGGAAGTCAATTAGTAATTGCACTGAAAGGAGAACAGAACATCCCTTTCCTGTTTCATTTTCAAATCGCTGCACTTTAAACTCCCACAATAAACTACTAGTAGAGCTCTCAACAGTTTTAGACAAGCTACTATACTTTGCTCTTCCAATATAGAGCAATGTTTATTTTTTATTTTAATAATGCTGGATATCAATAATATCTTACAGGATCCTCAAATGTATCTAGTAGCTGCAGGCGTTCTGCTAAGAGTAACACATCAGTAGTCGAAGAGCATTTCGAATACTACTTATTAATTTGGCAAGTTCATAAGCTCTGTGCATTTCCACTATTAGAATTCTGCAAATAATGGATTTAAGCTCTGTGGAAATCTCTCCACAAAAGTTAAAAAACAGTCTCTCACATTAAATAAACTCTAGATATTTTCTTGCATAATAAACAGGGAAGAAAATACCAAAGTGAAGCAGTATTTTTCCCCAAAACTCAAGATTAAACCTACCCAAATTTGAAAAAAGCAAAATGGAGTTTTTAAACAAACTGTTTTGATAAATATTTTCCCCTATTTTGTAAGACAAATAACTATACACCAGCTATCCACAGAAAAAGAAATGCCTATTATGTCTAATAAAGCAAGGGGTGGGCTGTGCTATTGACCTTCATTCTTGGTATGAGCAGACATAGACAGGATTGTGTATCCAATAGGAGAATTTGGCTTCAGGTTAAATAAAACATTAGATACATCAATGGTTCTGAATGTTTAACAATCCTTAAAACTTACTTTTAACTACAAGCCTTAGAATCCCTTTATCAACAGTAATGTGTCTGTGAAGACAAGAGACATTAGGAGTAGAAATCAATTAAAGCTTTGTCAGCTATTTTATAACTGTATTTCAGTACTATGAGATTCAATGACATCTCTTCAGAACATTTATTTATAGAATTTCAAATCATAGGAAAAAAGCTTTTGAACAAATAATTATTGCCAGCAAATATTCTAGTTATACTTCTCTGTTGCTAAAACATCTCTATACACTAGATACATCTATATACACTATAGAAAAAGAAATACGTAGCTAAGATGTTAGATGATAGTCACTGCTCTCAAATTTACTATTATTCTACTGAAAATAAAATACAACATTAGCCATAACAATTCAAAATCAATCACAGTTTAAGAAAAGTCTTGTAATCAGAAACAACAATAGTGACAAACAGGACAGCATCATGTCAAATGCACTAACCAAATGCACAGCAATAGAGTTAAAGTAACAGGGATCATTTGATAACCAATGTAATACAGCCTTGAGTCCAAGTACGAATTCTCCAGACTAGAGCGCATCCTTACTTGAGAATTCCATTTGCTCCTGTGTAAACTTCTTTTGCATTGGGACTGGAAGGCAACATGGTGATAATTCTATCTGCTCTTTCTGCTACATCTGCTGGAGAATCCATTACCTTTTAAAGAAAGAAAAAAGAAAATTTTATGTAATCTTATGCTTCTTGAAAAATAAAAATCACTTGCAAGACCTTAGTCACAATTAAGCTACTGAAAAGAAAACAAAACAAAACAACAAGAACAACAAGAACAAAAAAAAAAAAACAGAACAAAAGACAAACTCTGCTCTCTTAATGAAAAAGTGGAAAGAGAAAAGACATCCTGTCATGGAAGCTCCTGCAGAATGTTCATCAATGCTCATGCAAGCACCAACTCACTCACAACTTTTCAGTTTACTCCAAGCCGTGCCTCTGATCCCTCCACAACGTGTCCCTAAGGATGGACAACACTAAGGAACCAGCTCTCCTGGATGCCTGCCTACCAAGTCCTGCTATGTCCAGCACAAGAAAAGCCTTTCTTACATGGAAAAATTAAGGCTACCCGCAATATGTATCTGACATTACCAGGAGTAGATTAGCGGTCACGTACACACATTCTGGCTACCTGCCTGTCAACAAGGCTTCTAAATTCCAAGGCATTTTGTGAAATGGGAAACAGGTATTGAAAAAAGCTTTTTTGAAAGTAAAAACCAGACAAACTTGGAATTTAATGAAATACGGGAACTAATAGACGTTAAAAGGCATGAAGTGGCAATAGAGGGTTGCCTCACAAAATAATTCATTTTGTGACAGATCAAAATTCAGGATTTTTTTGAATATGCAAAATGAGGCTACCAATGGCATGATTAGAAATTAGGCATTCATTACAGCTTTCTCATTAAGTCCAGATAAGTTTGTTCCAAAAAACACATACTTTCTTGATTCTGTCAAGACCAATGACTTTATTATTACTCCAATGTTATTTGTTGACATTAATAAATTAACAAAAATAATAAAGAAAAAAGAAAAAGTGGAAGGCAATAATAAGATTATTCAAATTAAAGTATTACTGAAAAAAAAATCATTTGCGGTTTACACCATTTAAACTAGCACCAGGACAACCACATCTGTGTAATTAGGCACTGCAGTTCATGAAACAAACCTGCAACATATCTGGTACCAAATGACTCAAAAACTCAGTTCCAGTAAGACTTCTGCTAACAAGACATAGACAAATTAAAAGATTAAGTCACTTGAAACTGTCTAAATTAAAAACAAAAAGAAGAAAGAAAGAGCTAAACTGAGTAAGTACTTTTCTCCCCAGGCTAAAAGCTGAGTAGTCCAGGAAGCTACTTACAATAAGCATGGGAAGACTGTTAATATTCACTGAACAAATCTATTGCATGAATAAAAACAGAGGACAAATTGGCTTGGGACTTAGAACATGTAGTTTTTGTTTTGAAAGAAAAGGTTAATACTACATAACACATCTGGTATAATGAACAGTTGTACAAGGAAACATATCCAAATCCGAATGGAAATAAAAATTAGACAGAATAAATGAAGCAATTATAAGCAGAACAGCTTGTATACCTGATGGGTTCATTTCATGACTGACTTCCCTGGAGAGGGAGAACCCAGCTCTTCACAGAGGAGCATGACACCTATGTCTGTAGTTGTGAGGACCTCTGGTTCAGTTCAGTCCCAAAGTGTGTTATTAAAGGAGTAGAGAGGAAGCATGTAATTGGAGCCTGGATTTATATACATCTTCTGATGGGAGAATATTATCTCCAATATTCTCAAAGGTTTGCAAGTTACCAGCTAAGATTTCTGTGGCTCATTTCTATCTCTGAACCAGAAGCTGAAGAACATTACACTGGGCACACAACTGGAAAGCGATGGAAGCCTTATGTTTTTATTTTGCTGTGGATAGTTGTTTTATTGTTGTCTAACAGATTTAAATAACACCTAAAGCAACACAGTTGTACAGAGGCATAGTACAGTAATCGGCTGTACAGAAATGCATTCATTCCACCCATGCCTTGCAAAATAGTGTCAGTCTTTTTAAATTAAGAAAATGAGATTTAAAAAGCACACAGATTGTGACAGTACTTCCATAACCATATAAAGGAAAGCCTTTTACTGTGTTGAAGTAGGCTGTATGCTAAAGTGGGAAATGTCATTCTTGTGCCTTTGATACTGTAACAAACATAACTGATAATGCCAGGGGAAACCCCTCTACGTGGCTCAATAAGCAGCATATATTTTTTTTAAAATCTCTGTGTCAGAAATAAATGGTCTGAAAGCTATTAAGAAATATCAAGCATTAAAAGGCATTAAGAATGCCTACACAGATGTAAAAACCATGCCCAAATACTAGAAAATGACAGCAAATTACTAACATGGATCCTACTGAGTTTTAGTAGCAGCTCATCAAGTTCAGCGTCTGTTCTGATATTAAGCGGATTGGGCAAACTTTTACAACAAGAAATGGGATATGGGAAACTTTTCTTTATACTGCTACTGGTTTATGCTCTCCAATATGCATATATGCTTAGATTTATTCCAAAATGCTTATTTTTTTCTTTACATTTACTATTGGTAAATTAATAATTCTGCTTCTCTGAAATCCCATTCTCACTGAACACACTGGTAGAAAGCTCTGAGTTTTACACACCAGACGGCTTCAGTAGCACTCAGACTCCCAAGCTCTCAAAGATACCCACACCTGAACACAGTAACTGAGTAACATACCCACACCTTACTGTGCAAGGAAAAAAATGGTAACTGTGCAGGACAGGCAGAAAACCATAGAGAAAGCGGGCAGAGGAGGCTACTTGCTCTCAGCACCTTTCACTTTTCACTAACCTTACAACCTTCTCTTTCACCCCAGCTGATTCCATATGTGCTCGGCCTGTTTGACCCTGCACGCCAGCAGCAGGAAGGCTGGAAGCCTCACGCCTCCCACTGCTCCTCTCTGCTTCTGGGGCTACAGCAGACGGAGCCACGGGATGTGCAGGCCTACAGGCAAACACCTCTCACCCCCCACAGACCCAGTAGCAGCGCTGCCTTAAGCAAAGGGTACGTGGCAACATTTGCTGTCCCCTGCGGTATCTGCTCACCCTTGCAACACTGATGTCAGACCGAAGGAAAAGCAGCCCATGGAGCCCAATGTTGCTTCTACAGCAGTTTCTACAAGGCCCCCTGGGCCCACAAGTTTTCAAGCCCTGCAAAAGCTACTGGGGTAGGATTTACACCTATAGATCAAGAAAAGGAAGTTATGTTCAAATATTTACTTTAAGTGTGTTTTATTTGTATTTAAGCCTACCCGTGTATTCTCTTAGTGATTTACAATCTTAGAACAGGCTTTTGGCTTTATTTTTAAAAGCATTACAGTTTGCCTTTAATATCACATCAAGCCTAGCAGTGGATGCCGAAGACTCTATTACCAAGGCAATAATAGGGTATCCAAATCATCAGGCACAGCGAAGGGATCCCACCGCAGAAATGGAATTAAAAATACAACTAATTGTTCAAACTTCTATTCTATTTGCATAACCTCTTACTCCAGAGATCTGCTTCACGCCTCAGGGTCTCAGCTGCTTATTTATAAATACAATAGGCAGGAAAGCAAGCTGTAAAGCTTACTTTTCCACTTACTAAGGCAAAAAAAAATCTGTAATTAGTCAAGGGGAGCTTCAATAAATTATCAGTAAATGCACAATATCTTTTTTTTTCCCCCACAAATCTTGGTATTATCTCCTCATTCAATACAGTTGCCACTAGCTCCAACAGCTCAGACTTTGAAGATTCTATCACAGTTCTATCTCTGGCTAGCTGCAATCTCCTGCTGGATAAATTCCTTCTATCTTCTACACAGTCAGAGCCGAGCACTACTCTTGCATATTCTTTTGTTTCACTGTCTTATCTACCTCTCCAGCCACCAATAAGTAACAGCAACTGTTTAAATTTCTAAAGCTTTAAAGTATGTCAGAAACATATGAATAAGCTTCAGACACTCAGAAAAGACAGTCAGAACCATGTGGGCAACTGAATGGGTTTCTGGATCTATTAACCAGTCAACAAAAGCAGTACCACTGACTGGAATGGGGCCAAGATTTCACGAGCTATATATATATGTATATCTAGCAGGAGGGTAAACCTCCTTAATGTGACCAATTTCCTCCCCTCTCTTTGCCTTTTCATTCCTTCCTTTTCTCTCACCATAAGCTTCCTCACCTCCAAGAGAATAGCCACTGAAATAATTGGATTTTTCCTCTGCCCCTGAGGACTGCACCTTGAAGCAGCAGGGAAGCTCGTACATCCCTGTGCCCCTCAGGGCTGTGCCAGC